TTTTTTTTTTTTTTTTTTTTTTTTTTTACAGAGAATCATTCGAATTAAAAAATTATTTTTCGCTTTATTTTCTCCCGATCATTTTTCTCATTTAGACAATGTGTTTCTATGAACAAGGATGGATGATTTAATTAAATCGTGAAAGAATTTTGGAATTTACGCCCGTGATGAAAGGCTTTTTCGCAAAATGAAATATTCCAATTTTGATTTTTTTTAGAAATTGGGATTTGTATCGATGACTGGAAGAAAATTAAAAAAAATAATCTCATTTAATATAGATTTATTTTTCAAATTAATAGTAAATTCTTGAATAAAATTTTCGTGTTATGATATTATACGCTCGAAATTAAATTAACATTAGAGCAAAAGAGAATTTCAATGAATATGTTTATATTTAATATATAAAACCGTAAGGTCGTGAATAATATTCCCTACATAAAGTCTACAGCATAGGAAATACAGGTGTGCAATGCGGAAACAGTGCACACGTCCCCAAGCTATACAGGAAACCTTTGTAAAGACCTCAGTCACGTGCTTTGGAAATCTGGCGTCCTCGTGGATCGGCAGGCAATACGATACGTCAGTCTCTATTCTGAGGCGAGTCGAACCACCGAATTCTCCATATTTTACTTAAATTTCCCAAATTTCTCCAGGTAAACTAGCGCAAACTAATCTGAAATACAAATGGAATTTATTAATCCCATAGCAATGCAATTTATCTCGATAAACGTATTCGTTTCTCTTTGACGCAATCAACAATTGGATATGAATAATTAGAACTTTGATTACCTCCTTAGTTACTAGATACTCGTAATTATTTTCATTTAAAAGAAAGAGTTAGTGATTTATAAATTCAAAACATGAAAATTATAATATATCACCATACCAGAATTTTTTCCCCTTCTCATTTCCACTTTATTTCTGTTCTCGAATTATCTCTCTATCGTTTTATATGCGTACGATTATTACCACTCACCATATGAATATCCGATATAATAAAACTATAAATTTAAAAAAAAAAAGAAACTAAAAGAATCATCACTTGTCTTCTCTTCAAACGACTATGTTTTTCAAGCCTTTATGATTTATATTTCTGATTGGAAATCATTCAATGATAAACACTTCGTCGTTATTTTTCCCCGATTGTTCGGCCTTATTTTTTATATCGCGGATTTTGACGTGTTCCGTGTTGTTAAACGATGCAATATAGGCGACTAGCAGGGCGCGCCACAAACCTTATTGATTTTGTCCGAAACCGGTCAATCAGCGCCGATATATATTTCTTTCCCGCGAAACAAGCCTTTTTTTTTTCCGCTCCTCACGAGCCGTAATTTTGGATTGAAATTGAAACTGGATTACATACCTTTTTATATCTTTGGACGGAAAAAAAAAACATGTCGATGAATATGTTTTAACTCGTGTAAATGTAAAGCAAATTTTTTTTTAATATTACTCTCAAGGACGTATGATAAGTACTTAAATTATTGCATATCTTAACGCATTATTCGTGTTCTTCTGGCCAGACAAAGATAAGTGACAAATAAAAGGTTTGAAAATTGTCATATATATATATATATGTAGGAAAATATTATTTGCAGATTGATGCAAATTAATTTTTTTTACGAAATTGTACAAATATTACGCACGGTAGAGAAAAGAAGAACGATCTGTTTAAACATTGCACAATCGTTAAAGCGTACTTTGAAAATCCTCGAGTATATCCGATTTTTGCGTTTGACGTTTCATATTTCAAACGCAGAGCAGGAGAATTCTCATTAATTTTAATCACACGTATAACAACGATCTTTTCATTATCAAATATCCTTCAGTTTCATACAATTTTAATAATCTCATTGGTATGTATACATATGTATATATATATCTTGGAATTCTGAATACGAAAGTTGCAAACGATACTATCGCGGATGAATCGTTCCCATCGAGTGGATACTTACGCAAAAATCGTAATCCTCTTCCTTCCTTACAGCGTCGTAAATTTAAACGTGGCATTCTAAAGAAATCGATCTCGAGCACGAGCACAAGGTGAAACGTAAGAGGTTATTCCTTCTTTATTAGCTGACATTTCATATTTTTATTCGTCGTTATTTTTACGGTTGATCGCATCGGGTCAGCGAATTAAACGATTCGATCCCTTTCGATGTATATCTTCGATGTGTATCTGCTTTTTTCCCTCTTTTTCCTTCAATTTGTCGACATTTCTTTCGCTTCATTTCGCACATTTCGTTCGGTGTAGAATTTTATTTATTTATTTTTTTTCGATTCGGGTCAAGCTCAGATTGAATCGAGGCCATCTTGTAAGATACTCGGAACAAACAAGTGAAAGATATGAAAAATTCTCCTCTCGAATAAATAATTATCCCAAATCTAATTCTAATATCTCTTGAGGAATAATCGAAATGAATCAATAAAATTTTCTGGATATATCGAACCAAAAAAAAAAAAAAAAAACGAAACAAGGCAATGGACATGAATCAACTTCAATTTTTAAAAATGTACCATATCAAGCGTAAAGTTCATTTCTTAGTTCCTCTCTCTGAATTCTTTTTTTCTGGAATATTCGCTGCACTTTTCTTCGGAAACTCTCGTCTCAGGAGAATATTTATCTTCTTCGTAGTACGCGTAGAAACGAACACATTGTTACCGTGCTGTTGAGACGTTTTCCTCAGGGCGTTTATTATTTCTTTCTTTCTTTCTTTTTCTTTTTTTTTTTGACTCGCAATTCACATGGAAACGTCAATTGATCGTCTCCCTACGAGATTGAGAAAAGTAATTAACGTTTTATCATTCGAGATAAAAAGATGATTAAACTCGAAAATCTTCCGTTTAATCATCCAACACATTGGAAATCGGTATCTCACGTTTATCTCTGGAATTAATAGAAGCAAAACTTCTGTTAAACAAATGCAATTAACAACGCGATATTGTGTTTTCTTTTATTGGCCAGATACGATCGATTACGAGTACAGATTATCCATTAATTTATTTCGTTTCCATTTCACGTTTCCTAAAATATCTTTTATTAAAAGTCTTACTTAAAATGAGATAGTTTTATTTTTAAAAATGATTTTTAAATAATTCGGGTTAATGAGAATCAACGATACGTTATTCATTATATGTAAATAGATAACGATAGTACGTGTATAATAGATATTGTGGATTGTTAAGTCAAATTTAGAAGTCAAATTTTGCTGCTGTATGAAAATATATATCCTTATCGTTAAGTTCATCCTTCTATCATATTCGCAACATATAGTTTCAATATAACGAAACATTCTTTCACATCTCATACATATTGTAAAGAAAAAAAAAAAAAAAAGAAAAATCGAATATCTAATTTGATATCAATAAAATTCAATAAAAAATAATCGTTATAATTATAATTAACTCGTATAGATTCGAAAACGAAGGATTAAATAAGGATTAATAAAAGAATATACCTCTTTGCAATTTTCCACGATTATCACCACTTTTATTTTCCTCCCTGAAAAGGAAAAAAAGCGGCGAGGGATTCTCA